TATAACTCAAGTAAAATAATATCTTTAAAATTAAAATGTAAAATAATAAGAAGAAAAGTGTTTGACTGAAACTTATAGCCAAAGAAACATAAAATTATTATGATGATTTTTTTATAAGTATATTTTATAAGATTCCTAGTTGAGTTATATTATAATTCATAAATTATTCATAATTAAGATATTACGCGTACGTCTTATGTTCGACTATTGTAAGTACAATAATAAATTTAAATAATACGTATATATTTTTTTATTTTTTAATTGAATTATTTTTATTATTTTTTTAGAATCGTAAATTATAAGAGTTAGTTAATTTAGTTGAGTTAATCATAGATATCAATTTATCATTTATTATTTAATCATTTTATTATTTTATTATTAGTTTTATTTGATCTATTTTTAAATTTTTAAGTCATTTAAATTAATAAAGTTTTCTATCAATTGACTTAAAATATTTAGACATATACTCCATGTTTCTTAACTGGATGTTTGACTTTATTTGATAATTGTTTTTATTTTAAGGTTAAGGTAAAAAAATATCCGATTTTCTATTTTTATATTTCCTAGTTTAATATGTTTAATTGAATACTATTAACTAATCTAATTAAAAATTGCTATATAATTTAATTGACCAACAAAATTAAAAGTTTTCTAATTAGGATGATACTAAAATTATCATTAATGATATTGTTAATCAATTAATAAATACAGATAAAACTTTAAATTCCTATACATAAATTATGATTTACTATTATATTATAATTTGAATGTTGAAATTCTCATGGCTCCCTTCCATCGAAATATTTAGAATTAAAAAAATAAACAATAAAAGATGTTTTCTTGATAAATATTAATCTTACAATCCAAATAGAGTTTATAATTTTATTAATAAAATATAAAACAAAAGGAGGAAGAAAAGAGAAAAAGATGCAAAATAGGTTGGTAATAACTTTTAGCAGCGGATAAAAATTCTGCTCTTAAACCATTTGTAGAGCCCTTGAAGAGTGAAATTAATTTAGGTTACAACTTTAGAAACGGATAAATATTCCATTGCTAACCTGTTTGTAGAACTTATTCTAAGCGTGAAAAAAGAATGAAATAAGATTTGATAATTAATTAAAATAATCTAATTAAGGAAATTAATATAAATAATCTAATTAAAATTTATTATATAACTTTAGTGAATCAATAAAATTTAAATTTTCTAATTAGAATAAAATTAAATTATCTTTAATGATATTTTTAATCAACCAATAAAATATCAATAAAATTAACAATTTCCTAATCAGAATATGACTAAATTATCCTTAATAATATTTTTAATCGATCATTAAAACTAAAAATTTATAGGGGTACTTACTGCAAGAAGAACACATAATTGCAAATTCAATAATTTCAAATTAGTAAAAGCTTGTTGTAACAATTCTTGATAGTTAAAAGCAACAAAGTTTTGATAGCCAAAAGCAATTAAAATTATATATATATATAGTGGTATGAGAAGCTAAATTTCTAATTAGAATGATATTAAATTTATAATATTAAATAATATTTAATATATATAATAAAAATAATAAATTGATATCATAATTAGAATAAGATTAGTAATGATATTTTTGTCAATTCATAAACTTAGTAAGGACATTTTAAAAATCTAATTTCCCCCCTCATTCATACTTTTATATATATTAGTCTTTTTTATGACGTGCATTGAACATTGACTATGCTCGTTATTTGCTTACTCTTTATACTCATTTAATTTTTTATTTATATTATATTAAAGTATAAATTCTTATTTAGATTGAGCCGTTAAAATACATTAAACTTTTTTGTTATATGTTAATGTGTTGACTCATATAGTTTTTATTATATGTTAGTTGCTTTCATTTTCTTTTTTAAAGAAAAACTAAATTGATTTGTGAAAATTATTGTATAACTTCTATTATAAGTTTTATAATTACATATCTTTGATTAATAAAAACTTTTTTCATTATAATCTCTGTAATAAATAAATATACTTTAACGTAAATAAGGGAACTCAATCTAATAAATTAAATTAAAATATAATAAATAAAATAATTTAATGATTTTTAGCCGATGAAAATCATGAAATACATTTAAAAAATTATTAATTTTTAATAGAAATAGGATTTGAATTATATAGGATATCAACATAACTAATAAAATTTGAGATGTTTAAAAATAATAATTTTTTATCTTAATTTTTGGCGAATCAAATTTGAGTGCAATTTTGTAATCAAAGAAATATAATTATACCCTTTTTAAATTAAAATTTGAATCATCTAGATATATTTTTTTCACATAAATTCAAAAAAAAATATAAAAGTTTTCAAATGTCTTATAGTTACATATATTATTTAAATAATAATGTTGAAGCTAAATAATAAAGTATAATAATAATAATAATAATAAATTATTAATAATTATTAAATTGTTATTAATAATTTACATAATAATTTAATGAAATAAAATATAATTAGACATAATAGGTTAATAATAGTGAAATTTAAAATTTTAAAATGCTTAATTATCTATATATATTTATTTATTAAAAAAAGTAAAAAAAACATCCAATCAAATTATAGAAATATTATATATATTTTTAGGTTAAAATTTTTTAAAATTGACTAAGACTAAGGTTATTTTATAATATCTTAAATTTCACAAGGACAATATCGACAATCTCATTATTTCCCCTCATTCCCACTTCTATTTATAGTACTAGTATTTTGTATGACGTGCGTTACACGTTGACTATACTCGTTATATACTCATTTTTTATCTATATATATATATCATAAGTTGTATTTAGATTAAAATAAATACAAATGGTTAATTTATATTGTACTTTGCAGTGCAAATTACTTGTAATGTTACTTATTATGTACTTAATTCTATTTAATGAATATATAATGAAGTGATCTTAAAATAAAGTTTCACCAAATCCTTAGACCTAATCTTTTAGTGTATAATTTATAAATGCAGATTTTTAAAACTCTAATAGGTACTCAAAAAGAAAATCAAGTCATAACACTTAATCTGTAACCCCCTGCTCTCAATTCTAAATCAATAAAGTTCCACCTAATCCTTAGATCTAATCCTTTAGTGCATAATTTATAAATGCAGATTTTTAAAACTCTAATAGGTGCTCAAAAAGAAAATGAAGTTATCATTCAATCTCCAGTCTCGTGCTCTCAATCCCAGATCAATATCTATATAAAACTATAATGAAAAATAATAATAAATTATTTTTACTTATAGGTCAAAGAAAAGAAATGAAAAAATGATCTGAATTGATAATAAAAATCACTTTGACCACAATGACAGTATTATTTACACAGTGTATTAGACAAAGGAATGTATGCACATACATATAGATTCTTGAAACCAAAAAGTGACCAAAACAGAAATATATAGTTATAGTTTTTTTTTCCAGTTTTCTAAACAATATTTTCTTTTAAGTCAAACAGATTTAAAATATAAAAGAAAAAAATATCAAGAAAATTAAAAATGCTTAACCATCAATAGACTATCTATTTATTGTAAAGAAGATATAAATCTCTTACTAAATTAAAATAACAGTTCTTACTAAATTAAAATAACAGTAGTTACAAATTATTCACTCACCTAATAAAAAAATGTTTCAATGTATATAGATATATAAATATTTCAATAAATATGTGAGAAAATAATCCCTTGCATATATTATTATCATGCGCGGCTAAATTATCTTCTCACGTATTTATTGAAATATAATTATCTATAATATATTGTCATTATAAATGTAAATTGAAGTCCTTTGACAATTTTTTTACCCCCACTGGGTAATTGGAACCATTACTACTACTAGGCCATGGACAATCTTTTTTCTCATCTTCTTACATAAAATGATATTATCATATGAAGAGTGACTTTACAAATACTTTTATCATTTTTTTTTTCTTTTTTGTCCTTTCTTATTCTTTGAAAATTTGACCCATTTTTCCATAACACCGTTAATATTACATATATTTTATTTAACTCATTTTATGCATTTTCCATTTAAATAGAAAAGAATATAAAGAATAACCGATCTTCTTTTACTTTTTAAAATTTTTATTCATTAACCAAATAAAAAGAAACTAGTGCAAAAAAATTTTATTTAAAGTAATTTTAATTTTTTTACCATTTTTATTTATTAATTGACAATATTGATTTAATTTATTTACACCAAACACTCTTTAAAAAATAAAAATTCATTCAATTATAAGTATTTTTTTTCTAAGACAATCTTTTTAATAAACTAAGTATGTATCAAACTTCATCAGTTGATAATAAGAAATTTTTTAAATTATTAAATTTTATTATATAATTAATATATTATTTATTTAAATATTATTATACATTCCATAAGTAGAAAAATTTTTTTTAAATTTATTAAATTTTATATATAATTAATTATTATTTTTCTAAGACAATCTTTTTAATAAACTAAGTATGTATCAAACTTCATCAGTTGATAATAAGAAATTTTTTAAATTATTAAATTTTATTATATAATTAATATATTATTTATTTAAATATTATTATACATTCCATAAGTAGAAAAATTATTGATTAATGTTTAATATTATCGCTTTGTTGTGCTATAATACCATAAAATAATAATTATAATAAGAAAAAAAAAATTTTAAGCTCTTGAGCTATCATTGTTTAATATTGCCTTTTTTTTATTCGTTAAAAGAAATTTATTTATGCTAAATAAAAATAAAAAACTCATGAGAAATTTGTGACAGATAATTTATACGTTATAAAAAATTTATGAAACAAAAAAAATAAAACAAACAAAACAAACAATAGGAAATCATTAATACACCCGCACCGCATCGTAGTGCGGGGCAGTAATCCTCGTTAGTAATCAAAAACGCCTTAGTAATCACAAGAAAAATATCACATATTCAATAAAATAAAATAAAACCTAATACAAATGAATGACACAGAGATCAAGCAATAAAAGATGATATATTAATTCTATTTTGTTCTAGAAACACATTTTATTTTAAATATTAGAGATAAAAGAAGGAAGTCTAATAACAAATACATCTCCATCATGGAAGTACAAAATTAATAAAAATATATGAACCCCATTTCAGAAAATTGTTCTCAGTTTTGGTTGTCTAGATCCTTCACAACCGTCACAGGGCATGTTGCATGTGTCATCACAAATGTGCTTACGCTTCCCAGCAGTATCCTATTTTCACAAAATACAATTATTTTTCTATCGCATTATTTTTTTTTTCAAAAACATAGTTTAATATAAAAATTTTGATGAAATTAATCTCTTTATTACTATTTCTGTAGATCTGAGTAAAGATTTGATACTGAAACAATAATCAATCAACAGATTGAATTAATACCTTTTAACAGTGCCAAGTCCTCTGCTCCCCATAACCAAAGAGTCGAGTTTCAGATCATCAATTGCATCCAGCAGCTTATCTCTGGCGTCTCCTCCCCAGTACAATTTTGTAATTACATTTACCTAAAACCAAATAAATCCATTGCTGAAAGCCTGAAACTGACGTTTTATTAAAAGAAGACTCAAAAAAGACATGTCTGTTCAAATACCTCTTTCTGCCTGGAAATAGTGTCGAGCATATCAAGAACATCGATATCAATCTTCACATCATAACTTTTCAGAGTCTCCGGCTCTCTAAACTGAGCCAATGGAATAAGAGCTACCAAAAACAAAAAACAAAAATATTATTGATTGGATCTGAATCTGATCAAATCAGATAACACTAACACGGATCATCAACCTGAAGAAGGCGATACTTACGAGAACCAGACTTGGCCCAGAGTTGGTGAGACTCGTCAAGAGAATTTGGATTGACATGGATTAGGTAAAGAGTATCTTTTCTATCAGCCAAGTTATCGATGGCCCATTTTAGAGCTTTCTTGCTGCTGGGCGAAAAATCCATGGCCACACCGATCTTTCTATCGCCTGGCATTTTCTTTCTTCTCTCTCTCTCTCTCTCTTCTTTCCCTTTACTTTGTTACTTTGGAGAAGGTATCTATTGTATGTATGGCTTCTTATTAGGGAAAAGAGAAACCAAACAGCGAAAGTATTGCGTGTAAGCGATTATTAATTAATTGAACAAAAGAGAGAATGTGATTGCGTTTGAATTTTGTTTTCTCAGTGTTTTCAAGGATTAAAGGAAAAACAAGAGAAATGAACACTGAGAGCGTAACTTATGTTCTACGCGCGCCTTAGATTCTCAAGGGGATTGGATCTGGACCGTCCGCGTGTACATATGGTTTACTGTGCTGGCTTACCTTTCAATAACGGAACGAAAGGATTGTTTTTTCTGCTTTTCTTTTTCCCTTTCAAATCTGAATGCTAAATTGTAAAGCGACAACTGGTGGCGAACGGCCACGTCTGGCGCAGCATCGTCTGTGCTGTATTGCAGTTCCATGAGACTCGATCTTATCTTTGCTTTTTTTTAATTCACAAAAACGATCAAGTTTATAAATATTTGTATTTCTTTATTCAGTATAATCATTTCACACATCTAAAATTGAGATGGCAATTTGTGGGCAAGTTAGCTCGCATTTTTGAAGTTATGGGCTGCATTGCTGTGCGTTCTTCTTTTAATTACAGAGTGCGCTTATACTACTAAACAGATTTTAATTTTTTATTACCTCTCATTAATTTGACACGTCTTAAAATTTCTTTTTTATTTAATAATATTTTTAAAAATTAAAATAATATTAATTATTTTATTCTAAATACACTTTATTGCATATCTCCATACAATTTTATTTCTTTTCATTATAAAGAAATAATTTATTAATTATTTTTATTTTTCTACAATTAAGGTGGTTAAATCATTTTTTAATTCTTGTAAAAAAAAGTCAAAAACATATCAAAATTAACAAAATAAATGCAGTATTAATTATTTAAAATCATTGAAATAAAAGTAACCAAAAATTAATTTCGTCACTCGGGTTAATTTTGACACTTTTTAATTATTTCTTATTCTATTTATATGACACATTTATTAAGATATCATTAATTGTTTTATTTTAACTTTAACCATATTTAAATATTTCATTAAATTTTTATTATATTTGTTCTATAATAGTTGTTACGTTTAGAATTTCACATTCCTTAAGAAAATCATTATATCTCACTAAACTTTTAAATAATTACAAAAAAATAATAAAAGAGTAATTTAGTCCATTATCCTTAATCTTTTTTTAGAATTAAGATGATTCGATATTTTTATAAAAAATCAAACTGTTCAAAATTAACAAAATAGAGGCAAGAGTATTATTTTTGAAATATATTTAATGTATAAAAATAATCTCATTAATTTAGTCAAATTGGACAGTTTTTTAATTTTTACTAAAATTAAGAAAATAATTGAACTATCTCATTTATAAAAAAAAAAAAAAAACTATTTAATTTATCGGAACAAAGAAGGTAAAAAATAATAACAAATGGTCGGTTTTGATATTGCATTTATTTTATAAAAATGTAAAAATCTTTATTTTAAAGATAAAATAAAAATATTTTGTTTGGAGACGTTCTTGATTTTGACAGAATAAACTAATATTACGGGTAAAAACTGGTTCATTTTTAAATAAGACGACCAAAAAAATCTTCCTGAACATTGATTTTTCGGGAACTTGTTACAGCTACACTCATAGAAGATTTTAATATGTAAAACTTTAATGGAGGAACATGCTGCACTACCAGACTCCATTAGTAAAAAAAAATTTACCTAAACTTGAAGATATGAAGTCTCAAACCACAAGTAACAAATAATCCAACTTGTCTTTCGAATTCCTGAGAAATAAAAGATTCATATAAAAAAATCCTCAATAAAGGGAAACAATCCTATAAAATGAGAGAAATTAATAATCTCATTCAAAGGTCACTGAAAACACTCAAGATCTATCATATAAAAGACTAAATTCAAAATTTTTATTCCAAACGAACATAAATTTGAAAAATATTAGAAAGAAAACTAAACAAAAATAAGGAAAAACAATAAAAGGACGAAAAGAAACTACCGTGAATCAAATAAGATGGTTAGAGGCGGTGGTTTAAAAACAAAATTTAGAAGAATAAAAAAAGAGAGAGCTAGAAAGAGAGGCAGGTATTAGAAAATCAGATAATTAATTTCCTGATTCATTAGCGAGAATAAATATTTGTATGTTTATAAAAAAATTTTAAAAAATCAAAATGAATTTGAGAAAAATGCTCCAAATTCAATCACATATATTAGTTGGCATGAAGAAGTTGCTTTGCAACTTCCTTTGTTCCTTTATCATTACATCAATGTGTTTGTATTAGTTAAGAAAAATTAGAGAAATAATAATTAGTAAAAGACAAAATATTAAAAGAATGCCTAGGCAGGATAAATTATTACACGAAAGTGTGAACGCAAGTCCATTAATAACTATGTAACCAAAATAGACAAAAAATCACAAACTATAATTGACTTCTTTCATTAAGATTCATTGATGTTGTGGGGATACCTTTGAGCATTATTAGGTATAATTGTCGTTGAAGGCCATAATATGGAAATGCACGACCATGACCTATCAACCAACAACCTTTCTCAGAATGTCTAATAAACTATTGGTTCTGAATTTGAATTTCAATTTTGAAATTAATTTTAGTGTTTAGTTGAAACGTCATATAATTTAAATTTGAAAAATTATTAAATTACGAAAAAGACTGGTAGATTAGATTTTTAGAAAATGACATTGTCTTAACTAAAAAAATGAAAATCAAAGCAAAATCATCAAATAATAAATGACAGACAAATTCGCAATATTATTCTGTGATTAAAGTAACGATTCAAAAAGTTAATCTTCATTTGAAAGTCATTTTGCTTTCTAAATATTGTGTTTTTCGTATTCCAAATACAACGGGGCAGGCCGAGGTTGTATATCTTGAACCCATAATTTTAGAGAAAAGCCCATAAAAGCATTGGGCCAAAAACGAAATTTCATTGTTTCTCTAAACTCCACTATTGGGCCATTGGTCCATAAGAATACAACTTCGGCCATTGTATAATTAATCAAAACGACAATTCCTACCTGGATACAATAATAAAGTTAGGTCTAATTTATTTTTCAACCAAACTATAAATGCATCCAAAATAACAGAAGAAATATCTAATACAAAAGTAAACTAAAATAAAATAGAAAAACAAAAAGGACAATAAAGATGAAGATGGAAGGAGAAGGCATTAATTAAATCTCTAGGACTATGTTTCAATTTTTCATATACTAATTATCTGCTTTATCATCAATGTTGGAATTAATTTTAATGTTGTGGTTAACAAAATCTAAACCAAATGATTGTACTTATGGTTTGGCAACAAACTTAGATCTTAGTCCCCACCCATGATATATACTTAAGAGACTGACCCCACCCCACCGCAAATTGATTTATTAATTTTTACTTATTAAAAATTAATAAGAAAATGATTAGCGTAATTCTGGTGAGCACTAATCACTTTTACAAAAGCCAGTGTGAGTCTTGCATAGTCAAAGCTGGCAAAGGATAGGGAGACAGATGGTCAAGCTTTGCTACGAAGAATCTCCTAAATTCTTCCAAATTAAATACACGTGAAATTATTTTTTAAAAAAAGAAAAAACACAAAACCATGTTTGCTTCACCGATAATTAAGGTGACATGTTCCTCGATATTCTCTCTCTGCCATTCTCCCAACCTTTTTTGTGCTTTTCATCAATCATCAAAAATTTAATTAAGTATTAATTACAGAGAAGATTAGAACGCGGTTGCCTTTACAGCTGCCAGCTGGTGCCCACCGTGCGCTACTTGCTGCACTGCACTCAAAACGGCGGAGTTCAGTTAGACTCTAAGTGAGGGATCTATTTAGGGTTTGACCACAGCAAACTGAGTCACCAACTAACTAGCTAACGACCTAATCAACCATCGATACATACCAAAACACACAATTTCCGCCGTCAATTGGCAACAAGCACTAAGAGCTTGTTTGGTTGGATGTGAAATAAGGAGGAGTGTTAAATAAGCCGTGAAAGTTTATTGGAATTTGCAAAATACCTTATTTGAAAAGGAGGCAAAATAAGGAGTGGAGGTAAAATATTTTTATTTTACTGCCTCCAATGTACTCTCTAAAATGGGAAGAAAATAAATACAATAAAGGTGCAATTAAGTAAAATAAATTTACTTTACTCTCACCTTTTTTTTTTTTTTTCCCCCGCAAAAAAGGAGCGGAGACAAAATTTTTTTACCTGCCTCCCATGTACTCTCTAAATGGCGAAAAAAAAAATACACAAAAGTAAAAAATAAACCACCCACCCTCCAAATCAACAAAAAGAGGTAAAAACAAAAAAAGAAAAAAACCAATGCTATTTACTTCTCCTCCATTTACATCCACTCCGCCTCATACCCCCCATCCAGACCAACATATAACCCATCCGGTCTCTATCAGCAGTAGTGTGTTCAATTAGTTCTATTTACTTTATGGAAAACTCGTATTTACCTTTTTTTTTTTTTTTCCTCCAAACCAATCAAAAAGTGTAAAATAAAAAAGTAAAATGAACAATGCTATTTTACTCTCTCATTTTACATCCTCCCTCATTTTACATTCTCTCCCCATCCAAACAAAGCATAAAATCCCATTTGGTCTTCTATTAGTAGTGTTTTTTATATTTAGTTTATATTTATTAAAATCTATTTATATTGTTAGTTGATTTTTAAAATTTGAAAACTTTTGTTTAAAAAAAATGATAAATAATAAATTATAAATAAAAATTCAAACAATACCTAGCATGTTGTCAAAATATAAATTAATGCAAAGGTTTCTAGTAAGTTCGAGTCAAATATTAAGATTAGAGGGACTAAAAATTAAAGAAAGTGAAGTAAAGATAGATTATTTGCACTATTTTCTAAACTGAATTTTAAGAACTTATGAATTTCTTATTTAGACTCTAATTATCTGCGTTTAATAATTGAAATGTTAATAATTAAAAAAGAATAATTTAACGTGGCTTATATACTTAGTCATCAAGTAAAAACAAATTGCCACGCCTGAATCAGAAACTCATACAACCCGTAGGTTCCACGTGTCACAAACCACGTATAAGAAGTGGGCGGTGCCGGTGCCGGTGCCGCCAGGAGCCTCTAAACGTGGCCTGTATTGTCGTTTATGGGGTACACACGTGGGCGAAGTGAGA